AAAAAATTAATTACATATTTACATTAACATAAAAAAAAATTATAACTTATTCTTCAGAACTCGGACTTCCATCTGTGGTTGCATTCATGTAATGCTCCGATTCGAGTTGGTACGATGACTCTTGAGCCCGACGTCTTGCCAAGAGCCAATCTTGGTTGCAAACCAGTGTTTCAAGAGATTCAGCGTTAAGACAACTTCGGTAGTCGGTTAGAATGTTGCCGCCAACACTGAATTCTCATTCAACTGCTACGGTTGATACTGGGACGGACAACACTTGTCTTGCTAGCATGCCGAGACATGGGAACATGTGTTCGTTCCGCTTCCACCATCCGAGCACGTCAAAATCGACATCGTCGTTATCGTAATCGCATGGCACACCCTGGTACATAGCAAGTTCGTTGTGCGAGTTTCCTATTGTACCACTTGAACTCGTCGAAGACTGGGCACGTTTCCCTTTCTTTGCAAGAAGGCCACCGACTATGCCGGCAAAACCTTTTTTTGATTTCGGGAGCGGAGGTGGTGCTGTTTCTTCTTGTACAGTACCGTATAACCCTTGATATTCCTTAAACAAATCCTCAAAAAGAGTTATAGCATTATCTCTTTCATTTTTCTATTCTACTAAATAGCTGTAGTAATAACTATTTTTATCTAAAAAACAACTGTGGTAATACTCAATTAGAGTTTTAAAATTTTCAATCTTAAATCGTGGATCACAAATAATACCTATTTTATAAATATCAGGAATGTACAAATAATAAGTACACCATTTATCTCTCATAGGAGAGACATAATGGTACAAATCTGGATCAGCCATACTTTCACGAAAACATGTTGCGATTGTAATGCACTCTTTAAAAAATGTATTTGTAGTTGGTTGGTAAACATGGGAAAAAGTAAGAGTTGCGTTATTAAAAACTTCTAATACGGCATTCAATTTTTCAACAATAACAAGTTCAAAAGGATTAATGATTATACGAAGTTCATCCCTAAAAAATTTAGCAAGTTCCTCTTTATATCTTAGGATCTGTACAATCAATTTGTAAGTACTATTCCATCTAATGTTGATATCTCTGGCAAAACTTATTTCTTTTTTACCCTTAGACTTACTGAACATCTTTTAGGATCTCGAAATAAGACGAGCCCCCCAAATTTTTTTAATTCCTTCTTTAATATTTGTCAAAACTCTGCCCATAGCTTGTAGTCCCTGTTGAACACATAAATTTAAAACATGACAGGCACACCGTTGATGCAGAAATCTACCCATAGTCGTAGACGGTGGGCAAATTTCTCTAAGTCTAGGAATAGCAGCAGTATTATTAGTAGCATTATCAAAACTAAATGAAAAAACTTTTTCAGATAAGTTATATTCCCGCAGAATACTCTGAAGCAATAGGAAAATATTTTCAGCAGTATGCTGATCATTGAAATCACGAAATGCAAGAACACGTTTATGCATAATCCAATCACTATCTATCCAATGACAAGTAACACCCATATAAGACAAATTATGATAAGTTTCACCCCAAATATCAAAACAAATAGCAACACGAGAATTAAAATTGAGAAAAAAATTTGCCAAATTAATTTTTCCCATTTTATACTGGCGAATAATTTCTCGTTTAATTGTTTTTCTTGAAAAACCTCGTGCTTGAGGGTTTAATGCCTGTTGACAATAATCAATAAAACCAAGTTTTTCAGAAAACATGTATGGCAAATTTTCTTCACAAATCATTTCGGCCATTTTTTTCCTATTTTGCTCGTCGCTATAAGCAAAAAGACCGCCCTTACCTCTGTTAGCAAACCGAGAAATTTGGGTTTGCACTTTTTGTCGTCCCTTTTTTTTGGCCTCGTATTTGGCGTACTCCACGGGATGCCTCGACCTTAGGTGTTTTTCTGGACCGCCATAACTGCCGAAAACTCCCATTTTTATGACGGTCCCGCAATGTTTACAAGTTCCATAAACTATGTCATCTTTTGTGTCTTTGTCAAAATGATAAACAAATAAATCTGATTTATATTTTTTTACCTTTGTCCGCACCTTGAGAGGTCTCGGGCTCACCTGCCTCCACGTCAACGTCGTTGCTTTGCGGTGTAGGCTCATCGTCCCCGTCAAGATTATCCAGTCCTACTCATCAACATTCTCGAATAGACTATCAAGAGTGGGGAGATTCGCGTCTCCTCTACCAGAATAAATCTGGTTGAATTCTTCATCCGTCATAGCGTCCCCGATTAAATGATCTGGGACAGTAGGAAACGAAGAGACGAAGTGTCTTCCTCGAGAACCGCGTCCGCGTGAGGTCGAACCGTCGGAGGTGGCTTTAGCTTTGCCTTTACTCAATCTTCGGTTCACGTCGCCCATATCCACGGACCGTCTACCGGACTCCCTCGACATTTTAATATATATTTTTTTATATTAAAATAATATATTACTTTTGGAAAAATTAAAAAAATTTCGAAATTTTATATATTAAAATTTCGAAAATTTCAAAAAATAAAGAATATATTTAAATTATTTAAAGATTAAAGAATATATTTAAAAATTAATAATATTTAAAATTTTGAAAAAATTTCGAAATTTTATATAATAAAATTTTGAAAATTTCAAAATTTTAATGTATAAAATTTTTATATTATTATATGAATATTAAATGTATAAAAATTAAAAAGAGATAATAAGATTGAGAGATTGATAAATTGAGAGAATGAGAGAATGAGAGATGGATTGAGAAATTGAGTGATTTTTTATGTAAAAAATGTGAGAATTTATAGATAGTTTTTCCCCCCCTCCCCTCTTCCCCTCCCCCACCTCAACGGCTAAATAGCTGTTTGAGGTGTGCCCCCCCACTATTTTTTTTGGCTTTTTGCAGGTGGCTTGGCTTGGGATTAGAAATGAACAAAAAAAATGTAACCGGTACTAGAACCGGACCGGTCGGTACCAAAAAATAGGTACCGGAACCGGTACCGAAATGGGCGGTACCGGTACCGATTCCCGGAACCGGTGACACGGAGACGACGACGGTGACGGTGACGGTGGCGGGTACCGGCGGTACCGTTGCCGGTGACGGTACCGTACCGGTACCGTGTCCACCCCTACTTTATCCTTGTATGTTTTCCGGTACTAGTCTGGAAACATGTTATTTTGCAGCTCCCTATTGGAATCCTTAGAGTAAAAATATGAAAAGCTAGGGGGAGTAATATACTCTCTACGTCCTAAAACTTTCTTCTCAGTTTGACTTTTCTCCATTTTGAATTTTTGGCTTTGATTTCAAATTTTACCCTCCTTAAAAAAGATTTTTAATTTTTTTTGCAATTTTTCAAAATATAGAGTTAGAAAATAATTGGTGTAAATACATGAGGGTATTAATGTCATTTGTCATCTTTTTTTCTAATGGGAAGGTAGTTTTAGGACGGAGGGAGTACTAATATTTCTGCTTGGCCATTGGACAAAAATGAAATGTATTTACTATTTTATCTCTGTCTATAAATATTTTGTATAAATAAACACACACACACACACACACACACACACACACACACACACACACACATATATAGGGTTTGACTCCAGTCAGATGACATGTTTCGATCAGATGACACTTTCAGTCAGATGACATGCTTCAGATTGAACACTAGCTTGTTTGAGAAGGAGCACTATGTTATTTCAGAATGAACATTTTGCTGAGCAAACTAGGAATGAGTACTATGTTATTTTAGAATGAGTACTAGGTCTATAATGAACAAATATGTGAGAATGAACATCATGTTATTCAAAATGAACCCTATGTTGTCAATTGCCTCACTTGGAATGAACACTATTTTTTTTAAAAATGAACAGAACGTTGTGTGAGAATGAACCCTACGTTGGGTTAGAATGAGCACTACGTTGATCCAGAATGAACCGTACGCTGTCATCTGACCGAAACTTGTCATCTGACTGGAGTCAATCCATATATATATATATATATATATATATATATATATATATATATATATATATATATATATATATATATATGGGTGCACACGGTACGGTTCCGGTCTGGTTCCGGAGCTGGAACCGGCGCTTCCGTTGCTGCCACCCCACCGCACCGTTACCAGTATCGGTGCTAACCGTATCGGTTCCCGTACTGTACCGGCTGGTGTTGTTTGGCCTCTGCGGTTCCAGATTCTTCCGAAAAAGATGAAGAAAGGTGGTGGTGGGCTCAGGTATAAATACCCCATTTCGGCCTAGTGTGAAGTTCAGGTATAAAATGACACCAATGCTACTAGTGTAATTTGGTTACACAAGTTCATTTGAGGTACCTACGGTGCTCCATTTGTAAAAAGGACGGTTCCTACCCCCCGTAACTCACCCTTAAACCCCTACCCCAGGGTGGGGTTGGGGTGGGGGGGGGCAAGGGTGGGGTTGGGGTAGGGGGTTTAGGGGGTGGGTTAGGGGGGTAGGAACCATCGTTTTTACAAATGGAGCACCGTAGGTACCCAAACGAACTGGTGTAATCAACTGGTATATAAGTAACTCGTGTCATTTTAGACGCTCACTTTTTATTATTAATAAAATTATTTCTTATAGTTAATGTTAATGTTGATTATTATTATGAAATATTGTGGCTAAGTTAAAATTAGGGTGCGAATTGAATTAAAGTCATGGGCTAATGTAACTATCTTAGAATTGAATTACTAATTTGATTAATTAGATTATTTGTCTAAAATGAGATTAACTAATTAATAGATCTGACCAATTTAGTAATTAATTTTTGGAGATTATTAACACTGCTTGTCTATGAGTTAAGAAAATAATTTAGCTAACAATATTTAGACATATTAATGAGTCCTAGAAATATGATAAGTTAATGAATAAAAACATCTAATTAGTTAAAATAGCCAATTTAATCTAGGGAATTACCTTGGCCAATATAGTTATTCAATTCATACCTCACTTCAAAGCTTTGTTGACGTTTTGTTTGAACTTAATCATTTCAATCTTATATTTGTTTATCTTTATCCTATTCAATATGTTTAGTTAAAGTAAAACAAGTTAGTAACAAATATTTTCTTTAACCAATTCTTGAGAGAAGACCTGAGTCTTGCTCAGATAATTTATTGATTTTCCATATACTTTAGCTTCGTCAATAGCCCAAGACCTAAATAAACGAAGTATTCCAAAGGTTTCAACTCGAGTGCTCAAACAATATTTTCATTTATTTTTTTTTATATTCTTTTATTTTTACCTAGCCATTTATTGCACTTTTTTTTAGCTCAATGGCGTCAGTTTTTTAACTGGTTATGGACGAGATTCGTACAGACCAAAATGTGGTTTGCTCTTCCAACTTATGTTTTCTCCATTCACAAATCTTTGTTATTGCTTAAAGGACAAAGATGTCGTGTTATCCATTCCAACCTAAGATGGTGTTCCAGTATACATATTTATTTCAACATCTTGATAAAATGAAAATAACCAAGATTTAGAAAAAGAAAAATATTTTAATAGCAACTTAGGACCAAAAAGAGTTAGAAAACGGTTCTATACATTTTTAAATAAGTTGTGCACATTTAACTTAACTAATTTAAAGGTATAGAATTAAACAAAAATAACTTCCAATTAGATTTGACTTAAAGGAATGATTTAAATTTTAAAGTAAGGAACTCATTCTTAAAGAAGCTCAAACATATTGTTACAAGTTTAATTCCTATGCAAAATTGCAAACACTTAAAGTGCTAAAAGATAAAAAATAATTTTGAACTCTAATTTTTTCTTGAAATTCATTTCTTTTTTGTAAAGTATATTATTCTTTTAAAAACTTTAAAATTTTATTTTTTTTAACAAAATTGAATCTATTATTCAGAATATTATGAAAAGTTTTTTTGGTCAATCCACGTTCCTCTAATGTGTAGTATGTGTATAAAAATCCTCTAAGCACCCCCCACACTTAAATCATGCAGTGTCCCCAATGCATGTGAAAAATATAAAAGTAATGAACAAAGGTACATACTAGATGAAACAATTAACAACATGAAAAATGAAAACTAATAAAAGAGATGCAAGATGATAGAGAGGGGATCATAAGATATGACATATAAGCACACAAGTGAGGCAATCTAAATGCAGGTAAAGACGAGAATAAAAGATATTGAGAATACATATTGTACTCTTATTAATAGCTTCTTAACACTCAAAACAAAACTTCAAAGCAAACTAAATAGCTAAACATGTGGTCAAAGTAAAATAAACTAGTTTTAATATTACTCATAAATTAATTTTACAAATAAACACAAACCTCTAGCAACATAATTTCTCAAGGAAGTGATCAAATTTCTTTAAATCGAGAAGTTATGGTGTTGGGGTGGCTACACCTAAAGCGCAACTGACCAATTTCAACCCCAACCCATAATTTCTCAAGGAGTGATCAAATTTCTTTAATTTCTCATTTGATTTTTCACGGTCTCCATGTTGGGTTTGGGCTCCCAACTATGTGTTTTAAAAGTCCATTTGGAGTGTAATACTCAAGTCCAAATTTTAGTCCACTTTTAATGGCAAATTAAGGGTCTAAGTTGAGGGGTACAGCTGGTTTGAAAACAATAATTCACGCACAAAAAGAAAGAAAAAAAACAGCCGCAAAGAGGAGAGGAATCTGCTGCATTTTCTTCAAAAACGCAGACCTGGTTTTTTGGTCGATCCGAGGTCCAAATCTTGTCCGATCGAGCTGAAATTTTAGGAGGAGTCTAAGGACTTGTGGAGCTTCAATCTGAACGGTGGAGATCGAATTTCAACGTTTCAATCTCAAGTTATGAGCTTCGCACCAACTGCTGTTTTTTTGGTGATTTCTTGCACTTTTGTTCCTCTATTTTGATTCTAGTGCCTTCCTAGTGTTGTTAAGGGCTAGATATCATTGTGGTGCTGTTATATTGTGCATTTGTACTCTCAATTTGGTGGTAGTGGAATTGGTTGGACCGAAGGGTCTCCTGGTTTTTTACTCTTTCACATTGAAAGGGTTTTCCACGTTAAAATCTCATGCCTAGTATCGTTTTATTTTTCGTGATTGGATTATCTTGTTGCTTGGTGTTCTTTGGCGTGTTTGTTTGTTGCTCCTCATAGATTCATTCAAGAGGGAAAGGTGTTGATCTTGGGCACTACACATTCATTTGTGTTCTTGCTTTCCCAACATTCCAATGCGAT